TAAGATCATGGGATGCAAAACCCGTTTGCTCCATCAGAGACGTTGCCTGATCACTTATCTTTCGGAGCGAACTGGCCTCTCCCTGCAGTGGACCAAGCAGCGGTCGGAATGCCCGTGTGGTCACCTTCAGAGCCTGCAGCGTTCTGCGCTGACAGAGCTTGTCCTTGGCACCTATCTGTAGAAGCCGCATGAAGTTTTGGCCTCCATCCTGGCCTTTCTTTTCCCCCGATGGTCCAACAACTCTCTTGCACTTAAGTATGCAACCTGTAGTGCATTCATCATTTCGTAATCTGAATCATCTTAAAGCCTCTTTGAGTAGCAACAGCTGCCGTATGTTGGAAGATTTCCCCCAAGCCTCGGGCACCGCTCCGTTTCACCCTCAAACACTTCTGTTGCAGCTGCCATTCACAAAGAATGGCTGCCGTGGAGGAAATCAGAAGAGGATCTTGCACCAGTCCCTGAGATTAGGGCAGAGACTGCATTCGACAGCAAATGACACTCTACTCCTCCTGCGAGGAAGAATACTTTTTTAGATATACAAAAAGCTCTTGTTGCACCGTCCAGATCAATTCCTGCCCTAATACATCCTCCCTCCCTCAGCCCCAGTGCTGCCTGAAGCAGGTAGTTTCAGCCTACTGAGCGACACAGGGAGCCCGGTGCAGACAGGCGTTGGTGGCACTAACGCAGAAGGCTGAGCAGTTCAAGTAGCTTCAGCATATTAGTGTGGCAGGGGCAAAAATCTTTCCCCCGAGGGCTCCATGGAAGGATCAGTGCAGGCCCGAGGCCACATCCTAAGTGATATGCACTGGGGCAGGCAAAAAGAGTCACGACTGGCCTTCCCCTTTCCAGTACCAAACACATGCTCACATGCATCCATGCATGCATGCAGATGAATTCACTCTGTTGCACACGAATACCCATTTCCCACCTCCATTCAGTTTGGGTGGGGACAGAAAGCTTCAAACGCACCCTCTCTGCGTGCAGAGGCTCCCTGGTAGCCTCTCACTGCAGGGCTCAGCTGGAAAGGAGATTTGCCAGGTAAAAGAGGAAGACAGCACAGTGCAGTTACTCTGCCTCAGAGCCATTCCCCCCCCCTCAGACTAATGCTCCCAACAGCCCATTCCAGTCATGCTCCCTAATGCATACCAGACAGCTGTCTGGGAAGCTAAGAGGATGCGTTTTTTGCTGGTAAGCCATGCAGAGTGGGATGAGATCCCCTCATGCCCTGTCTTTCTTATGAAAACCACAGCAACACTGGCAGTGGGAATGTGATGATGGCTCCCTCAGGAGCAACGGGGGTTTCCACAGCTGGCTGCCCAGAAGCCTCTGAAGTGCTGCCACGTGGCCTGCATTTTTATTATCGTTTATTCTGTTTATTTGATTTGCACCCTTACAATAAAATAAAAAATTCCCAATAAATTTAGATGCCAGGCTAAGAGACCTGGCAGGCATTCAGTCCTTTATGTGCATTTAACATTCTGATATTCTGACACCCAGTTTTAATATTCTAGTATTGTAAAATAGTTTAATATTTTGTTGTTTCAACCGATTACATTTTTCATTGCAATACTGTTGATTTTACCTGTTTCTATACTTGTCAACTCTCCCAGGGCGTTGCCAGTTGGGTGGTGTTATAGAAATATTTTAACTATAGACACATACACTCAGGGAAGGAATCTAAACGATTCTTTAGCTTGAGTCAAGACTAAGCTAGATGCACTGATCTGTTTATGCAATTTAAAGAGTTAATTCATTATTAATCAACCAAAACTCGGTGGTGTTGACCTAAATCTAGTAGCTGAAATCCTGATGTGCGACTCCGCTGGACATAAATGGTGATAAGGTCATCACCTGGTGACATTCATTTTCATTTGATTTAGAAATTCCCACCCAACCCCTTCAGGTTTCAAGGTCCCTTAGGGATCTCTTCTGCCCAGAGAAAGCCTTTGGGAGTCTTGGGGTGGGGATTGGAACAGTCTTTAATATCACTACCAGCTGCTCCCCCTCCATTTTGGGGGGCATCCCCTACAATCCAACAGGCCTATTCAGGGGTGAAAACATGGGGTTTCTAGAATAGGAGTTTGGGATCCTCTCAGGGCTCCAGTTGGCAAATTGGGTGCCTTCCCTCTTATGCTGGCTTCCACGCTTCCACAACTGTACCTAGCATAGGACACAGTATTCTGGAACCGCCCTTCAAGGGAGTTGTAGCAGAACAAGTGTCATCTCATCAAGCTTCATCACCTTTAAAGGGATAGGAGAGTATGCATCATTCGTTGTGTGGTAGTGATAGGTACTTTGCAATTTGACCCTATAGGAAGAGGAGCCATGGTACTACTTATGCCACCCCACAAACCTGCTCCGCAGCTCAGCAGACTATATAAAGATTTACACAATACTGGTCAAGCCCACAATTCTCTACATAGCATCCAGCACAGATCACCCCAAAGTGTTCCAGAAATCTCTGTCCAGACCTTTTATCTCCTGCCTACTCCCTCAGTCCGCCTACTAGCTTTCCTCTTCAGATGTACACCATTAGCATTCCCCAAAGACCCTCCTATCCATAATTAAAAGCCTCCATTGAATACACTTCTGTATTCTTTTGACTGCACCCTGACACTATTAGTGCTGAATTAGACAAGTGCATGAATGCATTTCATATATTAGGTTTTTTAAATGACTGTGATGCTGCACTGAGCAGTTATCAGTTCAATTGCCTAGCTAACATCAAGTCTTGTCAACATCAAGTCCTTTTAAAAAGACAGAAAGCCACGAGTGTGGACACAGAACACAGAGGATGCACACATACGAAATGGCCAACATTCCCTAACAGTGTAGAAAGCGAGTTACAATTCTGCTAGTACCTTTCGATGAAGAGCAATGGTGTACTAGCATAAGGAACCATCTGTCTGGAAGCAACTCTCGATCATTTGTTTTGTGGAGTGTTTAATAAATATAAATAACCAGTAAAACACTCTGAAGGAAGATGTTCTTTTAGCATTGTGGATAATTTTCTACTGGATAAATTCAAAGAGGGGGAAAAAATTGCCTCCCTTATTCGGTGGAGTAGCAGACGACTCCGTTTTTTTGGTGACACTGTAGTATTGTTACCGATGTACTCCGCCAGCACAGTTAACCACGACACTTTTGCCCTTTCAGCTGGAACTTTACAGTATCACAGCCCAGCTTTCAAATGCATGCTTCTGCCAATACCATGTAAACAGAGGGAATAAAAAAAGAACTAAAAGGTCAGGAAATCTCCCTCCCTCTCAGAGTACCTGAAAGCTAGGTAACAATACGGCTTCTGCTTCTCCCGTGAACTCTTCAGCAGTGCTGCTAACTTTAAATCCATTTTTTTAAAAAATAGAAAGAAAGCAAGAAAGCTCTATTGACAGATCTGTCAAAGGCTAGGTGGGTATGTCCTCTCTCTCTCTCTCTCTGCTAAGTGTGTTTCCAACCTTCGCAGGGCACGGAGTCAAGATACTTCCACGCTGGTGGTCAAACCTGCTGCCTGCTGTGATCAGAAAGTACTGAAGGTAAGGCACCCCTCGCTGTGTCCCCACCCCCAGCTGTGAGCAAAGGGAAATTTAAAAAAACCCCAACAACCTTACTGTGACTTTGCAAGAAATGTATGATCAGCCTTTAAGACCCATTGACATAACATTAAAAACAACAGGGAACAAGGATAATAGCATTTCCCCCAGACTGAGATATTGACATGAACCAGAAAAGCATTGCTGAGCTGAAGGAAAGCCTTTTCAAGGCTTTGAATGCCATACAACAAGATACCGTACATCTAAATGCTAGAATTTCAAGTAAGCAAGCCATGTGCTTCAGGGCTAATTTTGAACTACCTTCATACACTGTAACTTCTCCTTGAGAACGACTCCCAAATAAACAGTTTGAGAGCTCACTACGATTTTCTCAACCCTGACTTCATGTGCATCCACGGATGGAACAATTCAATAGCCTGTTCCATAACTCAATTACACAGAAGTACTTGGTTTGAAGCCCTGGTCCTTCCAATGGTGATGAGACTACATTGGTATTCATATATAACCGTATTTTTTGCACCATAAGACACACTTGTATTTTATATAGCTTCCCCGGTATATGGAAGTGCGCAACTGACCCATTTTCCGGTCCTGTTTGTGTAATACCATACTGTCCATGTTGTAAATGTTGAAATCTGGAGCTTCCCTGGTATATGGAAGTGTGCAACTGACCCATTTTTCAGTCCTGTTTGTGTAATACCATGCTGTCCATGTTGTAAATGTTGAAATCTGGACTGTGTGGCTAAAGATACTTGCTCTGTTTGAAGGGAGTCCAGAAAAGTTCTGGGACTGTCATATTGCCCTATTCCATTTTCCTCCGTTGTGGAAACATCAGCGTCAATTAGCATTCTGTGAACACCTTCCAGTCTTCTTGCCAGGTTTGAAGAAGGCCAATCTATTCCCTGAATTAAAATGGCTGAAGTTTGTGTTAGACTGAATTGGGTTGCTGTCGTTCTGAAATTCAGTGAATATGGTTGAAAACCCCTATAACATTTATAGATTCTAGTCACTGCTGTCCATAGTTGGACATAACCACAGAGAGGAAAGTGGAATAAATTATTTAATTCCATTGTCCTTTCATTGAATTATTTTATTCTTCCACTCAGGTAAATGCACTTTTCTCCTCAAAGCAGGATGTAGTGAGAGAGATGCTGGCTGGCCTGAAGTTAGTGAATTTGATGAACAATTGGAGTGAACATCTTTGCAATTATGCGTGTTATCCACTTAACCACAATGGCTACATATTCTCAGCTCTAAAAAAAGACATATTTACGGTATATGATTTTGATATACATAGACTCTCCAAGATAATATAAGGCTGCGTCAAGTTACTGGCTAAGTATAATGGGAAGTGGGTTGACAATCACTGGATATGAAAATTCCATCCATGGAAATTTCTACAAATCAAGGAAAATTATCAAGCTATGCCAAAAATCTGTTAATACTCACCACCGGCAAATCACAAACCAGCTTGATATGGCTAAACAACTGACCACAATTACACCTAAAATGATGGAGACCAGAGAATCCTTGGAAAGTTTCCCAGAAGCTGAAATGATAAAATGCTGGCTTTTATTTCTGTTAGGGGAAAATAAGAGTTTTACTGTATGCAGACAAGACTTAGTAAGGCTGTAAAGTCAATGAATTTACCTCAGAGCTCTCTTGGTACCGTTTAAAACCCAGCACTATTTTGGCACGCTCAGTGCTATGAGCCCTGTTTTGGGTTTGGTCTGTAAATTTAGGTGATCCTTGACACCCAGCACTGTCATCTTTGCAGTTCTTAGTCCTCCAGTTTGTGCAATTCCTATGCAGGGTCAGTCAGATAACCTTTGAAAGACTTGGAGAGCAAATTGCCCCTACATTACTTCTGCACCATAGAATGATATCATTATTTTGCCGCTACCTTGAAACATTTTTGAAGCCATCTGAATTTGACATCAAAAGATTGCATGTCATGAAAACTGAAAGACCAAAATAAAAATAATCAAAACCAAGAACACTACAGACCATTGGATTTACTTGCAAAGTGCCTCAGTTCTGTACATGAGGTTTTCTTTTCCGATTTCACCAACCAAAATCAACCTCACAGGGAGCAGGGACCTATTTTCATGGTCCGCCCTCGAAGGCTACTGGATCCGGCTGGATTCCAGAATGCCATGAGAGGTGTTACGGCTGCCCTGGCTGGCACTCCTGTCGAGGCTCTGGTTGACGGCTGGTTTGCTAGGGCTGTAGACACGATCACACCTAAATGCCCTCTCCAATGCAGAGCCCGCCCGGCGCCCTGGTTTAACTGTTGAAGCGGTTTAGGAGACGGCTAGAGCGCAAGTGGAGAAAGGATCCGACGGATTATAATTGGATAGCTGTCAAGGTCGCTACTAACCTTCACCTGGCTAAGATAAAGGCTGCCAGTCGAGCATACTTCGCTAACTGGATAGGCGAAGCGTCCAAACAGCAGGCGGAACTATTCCGTATTGTGCGTGACCTATACAGAATTTGTCCGGGTGATGGGCCTCCCCCTAGTTTTTCACC